GCCTTTCTCGATGCCTGACGGCCGGTAGTCGCGGTCCCGAGTCAGCAGAAACTGATCGAGCGCGAATCCGTCTTCTCTCATCGAAAACTCGACGGTATGAACTCCGGCTTTCGGGACATCCAGATAGATTTCCATCGGTACACCGTTGTGAACTTCTGCAGTTCGTTGGGCACACCCCCAGACCCATTCATGCTTTGGATCTGACCACTGCATGCGCTGACCGTGTTCCGGCCATGTGCCATTCAGTCCGACATGCACACCATTGTCTTCCGTTCCGGTGCTGAAGCTTCGTGCCCACACGTAATAGCGTCCGGGTTGTTCGAAGCGGATTCGATAACGGACGATCGCCATCTGTCCCGGTCTCGGGCTGAAGTTTTCGCCGTGTGCCAGCGGATCGTCATGAGTCCGGCGGGTGTCCGGAAGGATCCGAATGAAGCGAGCGTTGCTGGCGGTTTTCGACGCGGACAGAATTCCCTGAGTCCAGCGAGTGGCCGGGCCGGCACCCTCCAGTTGCGGAATCTCGCCTGACTTCTTCAGAACATGCCACTGACGCTGTTCGGTCAGTGATTGAGATTCGAAGTGTTCAGCCTCCACAACAATCGCGTTTTTGCGCCAGCCGGCATGAAAGATCGGCTGCGTACGACGAACAAGACACACCCAGTCGCGACCGGGGTCGGAAGGAGGTTCACCGATCTCTGCCAGCCCGGGCCCCCAGACCGTCTGCACGGTGCCCGACTGCAATTCGCCGCCGTTACGAGGATCAAACCAGTGCACCGAAAACGGCCCGCGGTGTGACTGCAGGTCCAGCCGAGTGTTGCCGCCGCTAAACAGATAGATGCAGTAGGTGTCGCCGGGCTTTGCAAGACAGTAGTCGGCGTAGGCCAAAGCCAGGTGATCGGCGGACTGCATTTCTGTGAACGGCAGATACTGGTGAAAGAAATCGATGGCAAGTCTGGACTGCTTCCACATGCTTTCCCGAGTTCGCCAGGTCTCGGCCGAAAGGTCGCTGTGCGGACTGTTGTTTTGCCAGCCGAAGTACCATTCGACTCCACCGCCGCCCGCCATCAGATTGCCCCACAAGCCTTTGCTGCGAGCGTCGAAGTGTTCGGGGGCGTCGGCGTCGGTCTTCAGTCCGAAATTCGCACCACCCATTTCGTCGGCGAACACGACCCATGGCTTTCCGGCCGCACGCGATGCCGCCACGTAGTGTTTGGTGTGGTGATGGACGTCGTTCCAGTGGAAGTCCTGAATAGCCGTTCCGTCCAAGGTGGTTTTGCCCAGATGAGGATCAAAGGTTTCGGCAATGTTGCTTGGCGAATAATGATCGTTGTGAATCACGATCGGATGGTTGTATGGATCGATCGCACGCAGGTAATCGGCCATCGCCTGCTGCTGGTCGGTCGTCTGTAGATTTTCTTCACCCAGGTTCCATACGATCGCCGGATGGTGAGCAAACCGGGCCACCAATTCGCGCAGATAAAGCTTTCGCAGCGGGCCAAGTTCTCCGTTGTCCAGAATGTGATCGTTCTCGGTTTCCTGCAGCACGACGTGCATCTGCAACCCTCGCCGCTGCATGTGTTCGAATACAATTTCCCATTGAGCCAGTTTGCTCACGTCGAAGCGGTCATGCTGCCAGGGTTCGATCCACGGCCAAACATTTCGCCCATCGCCATTCACATTCATGGTCAAAAAGTAGACGGAGTTCATGCCCTGATCGGCCAGGTAATTTAGTCCGCCGATCAGGCCTTTGCCCTTACCGTCCTGCCAGACGGGATCACTCTCGCGCCAGTCTGCAACGTGTTCGGGAAAGCGATGCAGGCCCTGATCGAGCGAAGGTAGATGAATGGGATTGTGGGGTGCCGGGATCGGATGTTCCGCTTTGTCGTGCCACGTTCCGTCGAAGTCGTGATAACCCAGCAGAGTTTCCGGGCTGTCGACGCCGGCCTTCAGAAAGTAGCGACCGCTGCCCGCGAAGCGCAGGTAACGTTCGCCGACATACTGCAGATGGCCATGATGGCGAAAGTCTCGTCCGGCCTTGTCGGATTTCCCGATATCGAATTCGCCTTCTTCAGTCCGCACGATTTCGTCACCTTCCGTTTGACGAATCTGAATGCGGAAAGTCCATCGTCCGGTGAGCGATGGCGAAAATCGAACTCTCCATTTATTTCCAGCTTCGGCGGACGATTCCGCCGCATCGCCATCGGCGGCGAAGAAGCCCGGCACTTCGAAGCGCTGGCTTGTTTCCGGATGAAGAAACCACGCTGTCATTTCGTAGCGGACAAATGGATTGACGTCGGCAGACTCAGAAGTCTCCGGCCCGTCGATGGTCAGCGTCACCGTATGCCACTGCTGCCGTTCGCCCGTGATTTCAGTCGCTGCCGCAGCTTCAACCGACGGTAGCAACAGTAGCAACAGTAGCAACAGGTACGTGCACAGCAGGAATCGGGTCAGTTTCATCGGCGGAACTCCTGCGTAAAGAGGGAGACGACTTGTTCAGACGCTCGATTGTATTGACGTCGATTTTTTTGTAAATTGAAAAGAACAATGAGCTTCCTTTTCGAAATTCGAAAACCTGTCTGATGTCAGATTCAGTCGCAGTCAACAGCACAAGCCGCCGATCGGGCGAGCTACAGGTGCAGCAACTGCAGACGTTTCGAGACGTCTATGTGCAGGGCGGGTATTCTCAGGCGGCCGCGGAATCCGGAAACTCGGTGGCCAAAGTCTGGCAGCAGATTCGATCACTGGAACAGCAGTACGCCGTCAAGCTGTTCGAAAAATCAGGCCGCGCTGTTTATCCGACCGCGGCGGCGGACCGGCTGTTTGCGGTTGTGGAAGATCTGCTGGCCGGACTGGAATCAACATTCGATGTGGTTGGCGACGAAGGGGCACGCACGCGCCCGTTGCGAATCGTGACCGGTGTGCGGATGATGATGGAAGACCTGGCCGCGCCGCTGACAGAATTCCGACGGCAGGCCTCCTGTCCGCTGGTGATTCGTAACGGCGGCAATCAGCGGGCGGAAGAGCTTCTGCTGAGCGGCGAAGCGGACCTTTCATTAGCCCTGGAACCTGGTGTCGGCAAAGCTTCGTCAGCGATTCACTATGAACCGGCGTGGTATGTCGACTTTCTGGCGATTGCTCCCCGGCGACACCCGTTTGCTCAGAAGGCGACCAGCAGTCTGCGCGAACTGGTACGACATCCTCTAATTGTCACGGCCGAAGGGACTCATGGTCGTGATGCTTTGGAGCAGGCCCTGTTGCGGGATCGGCTGAAGGCGACCATCGCGACGGAAACCGACAACAGCGCCTTTACGATCAGCTGTGTTCAGGCGGGAATGGGTGTGGGTATCGTCGCGGGCCGGGCCGACGGTCCGTTGTGTACGAAGCTGGCCGTCCGTTCTCTGCGCCGCCAGCTCGGTCGTCGTCAGATCATGTTCATGTGGCGAAAGGGGCGACTGCTCACGGAAGCAGAGCAGCAACTGATCAACACCGTCAATCGTCACCGGAGTCCGGCAACCTGACCATCAGCAACAGTTGGCATTCAGGCTCAGCTCTTTTTGAAAACAATTACTTCAGACGAATCTCACCGTAGTAGTCGCTGACGACGAATCAACGCGTCTGCTACTCACAAACAGCGGCCGGCTTGACGCCCGCCATTGGACTGGCCCAAGACTTATGGACAAGACATTCAACATCACTGTACTGGGCGGTGACGGAATTGGTCCGGATGTGACCGCCGAAGCCGTCCGATTGCTTCAGCAGCTGGAGCCATCGCTGGACGGTGTTGCCTTCGAATTTGACGAACAGTCTGCGGGCGCTGCGGAATATCAACATAGCGGCAATGCATTGCCCGACGCGGTCTTTGAATCGTGTCTCAGGTCTGACGCCATTCTGCTGGGTGCGATGGGACTGCCAGACGTTCGCTATCCCAACGGAAAAGAAATTGCACCGCAGCTGGATCTGCGAGAACGGCTGGGGCTGTATGGCGGCGTGCGACCGATTCGACTGTATCATGAAGGTGATACGCCATTGAAAAATCATGCGGCCGGTGAGATCGACTTTGTGTTGGTACGTGAAAGTACGGAAGGCTTGTTCGCAGGCCGCGATTCCGTGGCGGATCTGGCGGCCGACGAAGCCACCAATCTGTTAAAGATTACTCGAACGGGTGCGGAACGTGTCTGTCGCCTGGCCTTCCGGATCGCTCAGCAGCGAAATCAGAAGAAACGTGTGGCCCTGATCGACAAAGCCAACGTGCTGTCATCGATGGTCTATTTCCGGCACGTCTTCGACGAGGTTGCTCGGGAGTTTCCGGACATCACGGCGGAACACCTCTACATCGATGCGACGGCTTTATACATGGTTCGGCGACCACAGGACTTCGATGTGATTGTCACGGAAAATATGTTCGGCGATATCCTGAGCGACCTTGCCGCGGGGCTCATTGGCGGCATGGGGATGGCGCCGTCCGCGGATATCGGAGATCAGGCGGCCGTGTTCCAGCCGGCTCACGGGTCAGCTCCGGACATCGCCGGCAAAGGGATCGCCAATCCGGTCGCGATGATTCTTTCGGCGGCGATGATGCTGGAATGGTTTGACCATCCGGAAGCAAAGCGTGGCGGTCGAGCACTCCGGCAAGCGGTTGCGGACACGCTGGCGGATCCGCAGAATCGCACGCCGGATATGGGCGGCCGCCTGACGACTTCGAAAATGACGGACCTGGTTTCCACGGCACTCACACAGGTCCTGCAGCAATCTGGCGCTGTTCGCTGAAGGATGAAAGTTGCCGGCGGGCGATCGATTCAATGCAGTTTTGTTCAATTTGATTTCGGATGAAGCCGCCCGAGTTCATCGGGCGGCTATCAACGAAAGGCTGATTCATGCCGAAACGCTTTCTGCTGATCTTTGGAGCATTCATCGTTTCGGTTCTGATGTGGGTGGATCGAGCCTGCATTTCGGCAGCAAAAAGCGACATCGCCAAAGACCTGCAGTTTTCAGATCAGCAGATGGGTTGGGTCATGTCTGCGTTCGCGCTGGGCTATGCACTGTTTCAGGTGCCCAGCGGAAAACTGGCCGACCGCTACGGCCCGCGGGTTGTGCTGTCCGTCGTCTGTCTGGTGTGGTCCGCCTTTACCGCGCTGACGGGCGTGGTGCGCGGGCTGTTCGCGATGATCGGACTGAGGTTTCTGTTTGGAATGGGCGAGGCCGGCGGCTACCCGACGATCGCGCGCGCGTTTTCTTCGTGGCTGCCGATGAACGAACGTGGGATCGCTAATTCCGTCAGTTTTTCCGGCGGACGGCTCGGAGCGGCACTGGCGATGCCGGGAGTCGTGTGGCTGATCGGTCAGCTCGGCGGCTGGGAACAGACCTTCTGGTTCTTCGGAGCGGTCGGAATTGCCTTCGCCGCGCTCTGGTTTGTTCTGTTTCGTGATACACCGGAACAGCACTTCGCAGTGTCCCCGGAAGAACGCGAATACATCAGAGCGAACCGCCAGCCGAAAGCGTTGCCGCCGGTTGATGCTCAACCCGGCGATGCGGCTGCTGCAGAAGCGACGACGTTTGGCACAGCTTCGCAGACCGACGAGGAACCCTCGGTGCGATTCGCCGACATGCTGCGATCACCGAACATGATCATGCTGATGGTTCAGTATGTGGCGCACAACTTCACTTTCTTCTTCACCGTGACGTGGTTCTTTCCGTATCTGCGCGACAGCTACTCGCTGACTCAGTCGCAAACCGGCTGGTACGCGGCTTTGCCGTTGCTGTGCGGTGTCGCCGGCAACTGGCTGGCCGGCATTACCGTCGACCGGCTCTATAGCGCAGGACACTGGCGACTGTCACGCGCGATCCCGGCAGCTGCCGGATTCGTGTTTGGTGCGATCGGGATGAGTCTGTGTGTGAACATGACTTCGCCGGCCGCGGCCGTGGCGTGCATGTGCGTCGCAATTTTCGGGGCAGATATGATCTTAAGCCCGTCGTGGTCCACCTGTATGGACATCGGCGGCAAAAGCGCAGGCGCAGTCTCCGGCGCGATGAATATGGTGGGGAACCTGGGATCGTTTACCACAGCACTTGCGTTTCCATACCTGCATGAGGCAATGGGATCGCATGAACCTTTCTTCTACCTTGCGGCCGGACTGAACGTGGCGGCCGTGTTTATGTGGTTCCGGATTCGACCGGACCGATCGATTCATGCAGAGCATCCAGCGACGACATCATGAGCCAACTTAAAGCAGCCGTCATCGGGACCGGCTATTTCAGTCACTTTCATTTTGACGCCTGGCAACGCATTTCTGAGGTCGATGTGGTCGCCTGTTGCGACACAGATCTGCTGAAAGCGCAGGCGGCAGCCGACCAGTTCGGGGTTCCTCAGGCCTACGACAATTACCAGACCATGCTGGACGAACACGAAGTCGATTTCGTCGACATCGTCACTCGCCCGGACACTCATCTGACGATCGTCAAAGAGGTCGCGTCGCGCGGAATGGCGATGATCTGTCAGAAGCCGCTGGCTCCGGACATGACGCAGGTTCATGAACTTCTACAGACCGTGCGCGACGCCGGTGTGCGGTTTATGGTGCACGAAAACTTTCGCTTTCAGCCGTGGTATCGCGAAGTGCATCGCCTGCTGGAAGCCGGCGAAATCGGCGACCGCCTGCACACGCTCACGTTTCGCAATCGTGCGGGAGACGGCTGGGGAGATGACGCCTATCTGGCTCGGCAGCCTTACTTTCAGACGATGAAGAAGTTTCTGATCTTCGAAGCCGGGATCCACACAATCGATACCTTCCGCTATCTGGGCGGTGAAATCCGTCGAACATGGTGCGTGCATCGGAAACTGAATCCGGTGATTGCCGGTGAAGACACGGCTTTGGGAATCTTCGAATTCGACCGCGGCGGCATGGCTGTGTATGACGCCAATCGCTTCAACGAATCAACGGCCGAAAACCCACGTTACACGTTTGGCGAATTACTGGTGGAAGGCAATGGAGGTTCCATCCGCCTGTACGACGACGCTCGACTGGCCATCCAGCGACTCGGCGAAGATGAACGCGACCATCCGTATTCGCCAGGAACGCATGGCTTTGCCGGCGACTGCGTCTTTGCGACTCAGAAACATTTCGTGGACGGACTGCTGCAGGACCAACCCTTCGAAACCGATGGCGACAGCTACCTGAAAAGTATTGCCGTGCAGGAAGCGATGTACCGTTCTGCCGAAACCGGCTGCTGGGAGATTCCGACCGTATGAACGTGATCGATCTGACGCTGACTCTGAAGCACGGAATGCGAGGAGTAGAATTCGAAACGAAGTACACGGTTGCCGAACATGGCTGGAACGCTCGCACGCTGCATCTGTATTCGCACTGCGGCACTCACATGGATTCGCCCGTGCATTTCGACGCCGGCGAGCAGACCATTGATCAGATCTCACTGAACGACTGCATCGGCCGAGCGTGGGTTGTCGATCTGACCGACATTAAACCGAAGACGCCGATCACCGTTAGTCATCTTCGCAAAACAGAATCGAAGGTCGAGTCCGGTGACGCCCTGCTGCTGCGGACCGGGTGGAGTCAGCATATCGACCGCCCGGACTATTACCGGGATCACTTTCCGCCCATCAGTCGCGAACTGGCCGAATGGATGGTTCAGCGTGGCGTGCGAATGGTGGGAGTCGAACCGCCGTCGGTTGCCGATGTCAACGATCTGGCGGCAGTGACGGAGATCCACAACGTCCTGCTGGGCGCAGGAATTATCATCGTGGAAGGTCTCGCGAATCTCGACCGCATCCGCAACTCCCCCTGCCTGTTCGGAGCCCTTCCGCTGAAAGTCGCCGCCGGCGACGGAGCTCCCTGCCGAGCGTTCGTGATCGAGGACTGGAACGACGCTGCGCTCTAAATGTCGCAACAAATTGGGTGCCGCGTGCCGGGCGGCACTCTTGCTGTCGGTAGCGGCGGCATCTCAGACCGTCGTTGGCAGCGGTTGTCCAGAACGTCGGCGGCTCTACCGTTGATGTCCAACCCGGCAGACTGGAACTACTTTTGGTCGGTGGGATGGTTCGGTGTCCGTCCACAACTCAGGAGTAGTCCGTCTCACACTGCGTTTGGCTCCGACCGTCGCAGCGTTTCGTGTGCCAACGACGTGACCCCGGCCATCCCCCGGGCACTTTCCCGATTGATTGCGAAGGCTCATCGACCAGGGTAGAGTGGCAAGGCTCCTTAAAGTCTTGATTCGAAGCCTGGTGTGGAGTCGATGATGTCGCAGTCCGGACGCAATCTTGTGATTTGTTCCGACGGAACGGGCAATTCGGGTCGAGGCACAGTTGGGACGAACGTCTGGCGAATCCGCCAGGCCGTGCAGGCGTTCGATCAGCAGCACGGCGAAATCGAACAGCACATTATCTACCAGGATGGCGTCGGCACGCAGGCCTTTAAGCCGCTGAAGATTCTGGGCCTCGCCTTTAGCTACGGCGTGACTCAGGATCTGGAATACCTGTACGAACGCCTGATGCTGCAGTATCAGGAAGGCGACCGAATCTTTTTGTTCGGGTTCAGCCGCGGGGCGTTCACCATTCGAACGCTGGGCTACATCCTGTATCTGTGTGGACTGGCCGACCCCTTCGATGAGCACGGGCAACGGCGGTCGGCCGAAGGAATCCGTCAGATCGCGAAGGACGCGGTGATCGCGTACAAAATGCGGCACCTGGGCTACCACGTGAAGTTTCGTGAAAAGTACGGTCGCTCGCTCGAAGAACCTCATCAACCCGCGTGGGGGCCGAAGGCGAATCAGCAATTGTCGGCTGAGGAAACAAAGGGGCGTGTTCGTATCGAATTCGTCGGAGTCTGGGACACCGTGTCTTCGGTCGGCCTGCCTTTCCACAATTTTACTCAGGCCTTCTTAAGTTTCTGGCGAGGCATCACGACCTTCTGCATCTTTCGCTGGGCGAAGCTGTCACTTTTAAACTTTCGACGGCCCACCAATCGCTTCTGGACGCGGTGGGAAGACGATCTGCATCCGTATATCGCCAATGCGTACCATGCGCTGTCGCTGGACGACGAACGCGATACGTTCTACCCGATGCTGTGGCTGGAAAATCTGCCGGTCCGAGGCGAAGTGGAAGCAGGCTGCCGAACTCACAGTGTCATCGCCCGACGCATGTCATCGATTCTGCGGACGGTGACCAGTCGACACGTTTCGGCGATTTCCAAGAAGGATCCGGGGGACGGGATGCCCGGCCTGAATGTCGAACAGGTTTGGTTTGCGGGCATGCATTCGGATGTCGGCGGAGGTTATGACAAAGATCATCTGGCTCATGTTTCGTTGATGTGGATGATCGCGCACGCGCGTCGCTGCGGGTTGAAGTTTTCAGAAGACCTCACGAACGAATACGCGGAACGAGTCGACGCGCTGGGGAAGATGCATGATTCCCGCAGCGGTCCCGCCATTCTGTACCGCTACAATCCGCGCGATGTCGAATGGTTCAGTCACGACGTCGGCATCAGCGCGCAGGCGGGCGACCGCCCATTAATACATGATTCTGTCTTTTGCCGAATTGCGGATTCCTCACAGGCTTATGCTCCCCGCCATATCCCATTCGCTGAACGCTACGATGTGATCCGCACGCCGAAGATTGAAGGCGATCCGGCAGAATTGCCTGCCACTTCGCCTCGACTTTCGTGGGATCCGGACGTACCCGCTGCAGATCGAACGCCGGAACTGAACTGGAAGCTGCAGAACGAACTGAAAGCAACTGTTCGCGGCAGCGAAGATCAGTCGTCAGGAATGGATCGACTGACCGCTGCCGTGCGGTCTGTCCTGCGAGTCGCGTCGATTCTGCTGTTCGGCGTGTTCTGGATTGTGAATCTGATTTTTGCAAAGGTCGTCGGGCGCTTTGGAAAGGAGGAAAATCAGCAAACGCAGTATCTCGATGCTCGTCAGTACGCGGACGAAACCATTCACCTGTACGTTGTGCTGCGTCGAGCTGCCGCGCGGTGGATCGTGTACGTAATTCTGATCTTCGTCGGACTGGCGTTGTCACCATTTTTGCAGGAATGCTTCGTTGAGGCCGATGTTAAAATCTGGAATCACGTGGGAGAGTTCCATCGCAACTGGTATGCCGACTCGTGGCTGCCTTCACACACCTGGTCGAAACTGGTGCCACTACTGCGACTGTCGACCGTGCTGTGCGTGCTGCTTGTTCTGTTTCTTGCATCGTCCGTTGTCGGGATGATGCGGCTGAAGCGGCGGGACACCAGCCAGCAACCGTTTAAGGCGATTTCAAAGCCAGGGCAGCTGTGGCCTGTCGTGGCTCCCTTTCTGACGGCCATTGCTATCTTGTCCGGAGCGCTCGTCTTAAGACCGTTGGCCCATTCTTTGGTGGACACTTTGGTTCCCGGACCAGTCTCAAAGATGATCGACCCGTTGATGAAGTCCGGCGTCGCGTTCGCAACGATGTGTGCTGCGGTTTACGGTGTGTTCTGGTTCAACGGGCATTACCGCAGACGCATCGAGAACTGGGCTCGCTATGCGTGGGACAGTCAGGTCTATGGTTCCGCGGCTCGACCGGAAGCCTTTGAAATCTGGCCGCGTTCGTTGGTGGAAGCTCTGTTCAGCGAACGTCGTCTGACCATTGGGCGTTACATCGGCCGCTTCGCGACGAAGACTTTCTTTCCGCTGCTTTCGATGAGTCTGCTGGGACTGGCCGTGGCTGCGGTGCTGTGGATTCCGATTGCCGAAGTATTCATTGGGGCAAGTTTACAGTGGGCCGAGCCGGCGGTTGTCGAGCCTGATGTGTCGGCAACTCAGAATGCTGCCGACGATTTGGGCAATCCGTTAGCCGCTACGCCAGTTACAATCTTGTGGGACGTAAATCGCACATTGAATACTCGCCGCAACGTTGTCGCGGGCCGGCACTATGTGATCCGCACAAATCAGCTGGCTCATCTGTGCGACGGCGACGTTCCGGGACGGCTGGACGGAATTTCCCTGTCGCCGCAGCTCGTGACCGATGATATGACAGAACTGCAGAAACGGACGGTCCAGGACACCAATCTCAGCAGGGAATGGATGAGTCGCGTGTCAGCGTTGAAGCGACTGCCATCGGAAGGCTACTTTCAGCTATGCGGGGCTGTTGGCAGTCCGGTCGCCGCCAACCAGTTTCCGATCCTGCCGGACGTCCCGTTCACCGCACCCGCGAGCGGCGAGTTGTTCCTGTTTCTCAACGACGTCCCGGGCTTTTACGTCAACAACCGCGGTCGCCTGCAGGTGCAGATCGAACCGGTTCGCCTGCCCCGATGACGTACTGCAACCTGTCGCATCGACCGACTGCGATGAATCATCGCGCCGCACAGTTGGATCCTTCATTAACACTGAAGTGCGTTGCTGGCACGTCGCCGGGGGGCTTGCTTTGTTCGAACGCTCAAACGGTCGCGCGGCTGACTTCCGGCGAATCGGATTCCGTTTGCGGCCGTGTTCGTGTCGTGGGATGAAAGACAGGCTGAAAGGCGTCGCGACGAACCGATGCCGTCGACCGACGAACGGGGGCCCGAACACTTAAGCCGGATTGTTCCACGATTTCCTGAGCCAGCGTTTCCAACTGCTGTACGTTGGTTTCGAACTGTCGGAAGTAGGTCGGAGTATTCATTTCATCGACCAGCCGCTGATTCATCTCACGAATGATCGGCATTTCAGAAATGTTGATCGCCCCATCCAGTGTTCGGTCTTCCGTGGCTTCGTGCCACTGGCGGAAGAAATTCTGCATGAAGTGATTGACTTTGCCAAGTCTGGTCAGCCGCGAAAGGTTCCGCAGGTACATGGTCTGATGGCACATGCGATCCTGCATAAAGATGAACGCTGTAATAGACCAGTACACCAGATAGTCCCACAGTATCTTCACAGGCATCACGGTCGGGTTGCCGAACAGGCAATATTGATCCTGATAGGCCGTCTTCGTGCCGTAGTAGAATCGTTTGAAGATGCGGTCGTACGAGAACGCTCGAATTCGAAATCCGCGACCCGTCAGGTCACGATCGATCAGGTCGGTCAGAAAAGTATTCGCGAAGGCGATAAAGTCACTGCCGGGCGAATAAAACGGATCATGAAAGAAGCCGGCCTCTCCCGTGATTCCCCAGCGTTGGCCGGAAAACACCTGAGTGCATTCGGTCGCATAGTGTTTGATGGCTCGAAAGTCCTGCACCTTGTCCAGGTGCGCCTTCGCGGCGTCAGCACACTGTGGTTCATGTTTTTCCAGCCAGGCGATCGCTTTCGAAAGTGAATTGAAGTCGGACAGTTCGTGGTATGGTTCGCCGGCCACGATTCCCATGCTGGTGGAACCGGAAGCCAGCGGAATCATCCACACCCAGTAGCCTTTGCCCATCAGGTGATTCGTGCTGTACCAGCGTCCGGTCTTCTCGCTGTGCCCGGCCGACCAGTTCGAGTCGGTACACCAGTCATCGATCCGGATATGTTCGCTGAAGCGAAACCACGCAGCGTTTGCCTTATGAGGTGAAGACTTCTGCAGACCCAGTTGCCGCTTCAGAAACGCTCGACGACCGCTGGCATCGACGACCCAGCGCGAACTGACGTGCTCCGTCTTTCCGTCGCGATCGTAGCTGACGCTGTGTGCTGAGGAGCGGTTGATGTCGATGGACTTGATGTTGGCTTCATCAATAAACCGGATACCGCGTTCCAGACACAGGTCGCCCAGGTGATTTTCGAAGCGGCCCCGGTCCAGTTGATAACTGGGGCACGGTGCATACCGTTTGCCTCCCAGTTCCAGTCGGTCTTCAATTTTCGAATTATCGCCAGCCGGAAAGAAGAACCTCAGGCCCAGCTTCGGCAACTGGCGTTCAAGAATGTGTTCGCGCAGCCCCAGCATCTTTCCAAAGTAATGCGCCGCG